TTGAGTCGGATATTTCTCGGAGAGTTTCTTCATTTCTTTTTAGTCTTAGCTCTCTTTCCTCCTCCATCTGGAGCATTTCTGCATTGCTGTCCTCAATATTGCTAATTCTTCCCTCCATATTGTCAGCCCTGATGCTTAAGTCTTCCATATTTGTCTTTATCTTCTCTATTGTGTTTTTCACCTCTAAGATTTCTGATTGGTTTTTCTTTATAGTTTCAATCTCTTTTGTGAAGAAACTCCTCATTTCATTGAATTGTCTATCTTTGTTTTCTTCTCTTTCATTAAGCTTTTTTGTGATGGCTATTTTGAATTCTCTGTCATTAAGGTTATACATTTCTGTGTTTTCTGGGTTGACTTCTTGGCATTTGTTATTTTCTTTTTGGTCTGGTGATTTAATATATTTTTGCATGGTGCCTGTCGGTGTTGGCTTATTTTTCCTTATAGTGAAAATATATGGTTGTAGTTTCCTCTTGCTGCCGCTGGGTGGGGGTCAAGGGCTGTGTGTTCTGGCCTGCCTAATCTGAAGGCACTCTGGTCAGCCCCCAGCTGAGCAGAGGCTGCTAGGGGGAGGAAGCATGGGAACAGCTGGAGCTGGAGCGTGGGAAAAGCTGGGACTGGAGCGCAGCTAGGCCGAAGCAGCTGGGGCTCAGGTGTGGGTGGGTTGAAGCAGCTGCTGCTGAAGCACAGCTGGGCTGAAGAAGCAGGAGCTGGAGTGTGGTGCACCAAAGTTGCTGGCGCCAAGTCAGCTGGAGCCTGAGCATGGCCAAGCCGAAGCCGCTGGAGCCAGGGGGGCGGTCGAGCTGAAGGAGCTGGGTACGGGGTGTGGTCACGCTGCTGCTGCTGGTGGGGCCCAGGTGCCTGGGGGCAGCTGCCTCTGGGGGCGGGGCAGAGCTGAAACACCGCTGTGCTGAAGCATCCGGAAGGCCAGGTGGGGCAGGGCGGCTTACTTTTGCTTCCCCCATCTCAGAAGTCTCTCACCTCACTGTCGCTCTCCCCTCTACTGAGGGGCTAGCTTGCCTAAAGTACCCTCACAACAGTTCTGCTCCCTCTGTAGGGGGATTCCCCATGGGCTGTGAGGGGTCTTGGAGAGTGCTGGTTTTCCTGCAGAGAGCCGCCCCTCCTCCTCTGAGAGCCGCCTGGTCTCAGTCTCAGGGTCACAGTCCCTGGGAAGGAAGGGAGCTCCTCTTACTTCCTTGCACTTAGTCTGGGGATTCCAGCACCTCAGTCCTCAGATGTATGGCTGCCTGGGTTCCTCAGACGTCCCCTGTGTTGTGTGAATAGCTTCTGTTGGAATATGAATGTCCTTTTTGTTGTGTCTTAGGGGGGTAGAGTTCATGGCTCACTCTGCCATGATGCTGACGTCACTGGCATACTTTTTCTATAAAGGGCCAGGCAGTGAATATTTTAGGCTTTGTGGGCCGTATATGGTTTTTGTCACATATTCTTCTCTTTTTCTTTTTTAAAAACAGGTTTTTAAAATGTAAAAACCATTATTAGCTCCTGGGCTGTACAAACAGCCTGGGGCCGGATTTTGGCAGTAGCTTGCCAACCCCTGCTGTGTGTGATCCACTGGAGAAGACTGCTTAAACTCGATGAGCCCAGGAACCGAAATAGGATCCAAGCAGAAAGTATTAGTTATTTATTGAGGGAAATGGGCTTTTGTATTGTATCAGATATCATCTGTGCTCTCTATTAAAAGTGATATAGCTCAGATTAAAACAAGAAAATAGTGCTGTGTATATGAAATTTGCATAAACCAAAGAGTACTTTTTTTTCCTGTGAGGAAAATTGGCCCTGAGCTAACATCTGTGCCATTCTTCCTGTATTTTGTATATGGGACACCCCCACAGTATGGCTTGATGAATGGTGGCTAGGTCCACGCCCGGGATCTGAACCTGTGAACCCTGGGCCACCGAAGCAGAGTGTGTGAACTTAACCACTGTGCCACTGGGCTGGCCCCCCAGAGACTACTTTTTAAAGCTGAATAAACGTGTGGCAACTTCTTCTACAACAGAAATTCTTAACTTGGGGACCATAAAATCAAGAGGTTTTTTTAAGAGGTGTCTAAGTGGCCCCTGAAATTTCGTGTAAAATTTGATATACCTTCACTTGTCTGTGAAGTGGATCCATAGCTTTCATCACATTCTAAAAGACTTATGTGACTCTGAATATTAATAACCCATGGCTGAAGTACTTTTAATCAGTAAGTTATCCTCTCCCCTTTAAACTCCTCACCCAACACATGCAAAATTTACATCTCTTGGTTTTGTGTCACTTAGTGACACCCAGTGTGGCGAAGCTTTGTGGGAGTGATGACTGGTGAGGGGAGTGGGCTGGGTTGGTCAGTACAGGAGGAGGGCAGTCTCTGTCTAGAGATTGAGGGCCGTGCATTGGTAGGCAGACCCTTGCTAATAGGTGGCAGCTCAAAGAAATTCCTACCAGGCGTTAAATTATAGTCCCTGCCAGTTTTATGGCATTGAACCATACACATAGTTTTCATCTCATGTCTGTCTTCTTCAAGACAAACTCAAAAGACTTGAGTTCTTTTTAATAGTGCATCAGACAATTAAACTGGACTTTTTTTTCTTTAATTGTGGTAAAATACACATAAAATTTGCCAGCTTAACCATTTTCAAGTGTATAGTGCTCTGGTGTTAAACACATTCATATTCTTAGGCTAACATTACCACCTTCTATCCACAGACCTTTTTTCTTCTTGCAGAACTAAAACTCTGTACTCATTAAACAGTAACTCCCCATTCACCCCTCCCACCTTCTGCTTTCGATCTCTAAATTGGACTATTTCAGTTATCTCATTTAAGTGGCATCATATAATATTTGTCCTTTTGTGTTTACTTATTATTTCATTTAGTGTAATATCCTCAAGGTTCATCCATGTTGTAGTATGTGTCAGAATTTCCTTCCTTTCTAAGGCTGAATAATATTGTATTTGTCTACCACATTTTGCTTATCCATTCATCCATCAATGGACACTTGGGTTACTTCCACCTTTTGGCTTTTGTGAATAATATTGCTGTCAACATGAGTATACACATTTCTTTTCAAGTCCCTGCTTTCAATTCTTTTGTGTATATACCCACAAGTAGAATTGCTGGATCACATGGTAATTTTTAGTTTTCTGAGGAACCACCATACTATTTACCATAGCAGCCACACAATTTTTCAGTCCCACCAACAGTGCATAAGAGTTCCAATTTCTCCATATCCTCACCAACACTTATTATTTTCTGTTTTTTTGATAGTAGACATCGTAATGGGTGTGAGGTGGTATCTTCTGGTTTTTATTTGTGGTTCCCTAATGTTTCATGATGTTGAGCAACTTTTCATGTGCTCATTGGCCATTCGTTTATCTTCTTTGGAGAAATGTCTATTCAAGTCCTTTGCTCATTTTTAAAAAAAATTTAGTTTATTTCTTTGTAGTAAAACACATGTAAAATTTATCATCTTAATCATTTTTAAGTGTTCGGTTCAGTGGCAGTAAGTACATTCACATTGTTGTGCAACCAATCTCCAGAACTTTTTCATCTTGCAAAAACTGAAACGCTGTACCCATTTAACAACTCCCCATTTCCCACTCCCCATCCCCTGGTAACTACTATTCTGCTTTCTGTTTCTATGAGTTTGACTACTCTAGATACGTCATGAAAGTGAAATCATACAGTAATTGTCTTTTTGTGACTGATGATGAATGGATTTTTAAAGAAAATGTGTAAGTCAGCTGGGGAAATTAATCATAGTCTAGACAGTAAATAATCACTCAGATGGTCATGTTGCTCCTTCAGCATGGCAGCAGAAGGAATAATTAGTTGGTCACCTGTAGCAAATGCCAAGTGTCACTAGTTTTTTCTGTGTATAATACTGAATTAGATTTTTAAAAATTTTCAATCATTTTCTCCAAAAATTAAATAGTATATTTTTGGGGCCGGCCCCGTGGCTTAGCGGTTAAGTGCACGCACTCCACTATTGGCGGCTCGGGTTTGGATTCCAGGCGCACACCGACGCACCGCTTGTCTGGCCATGCTGAGGTGGCGTCCCACATACAGCAACTAGAAGGATGTGCACCTGTGACATACAACTGTCTACTGGGGCTTTGGGGAGGAAAAGGGAGGGAGGGGAAGGAAGAGGATTGGCAATAGATGTTAGCTCAGGGCCGGTCTTCCTCAGCAAAAAAAAAAGGATTGGCATGGATGTTAGCTCAGGGCTGATCGTCCTCAAAAAATAACTAACTAATTAAAAATATAAATAAATAAATAGTATATTTTTAATTAGTTTATATTATTTGTGTTTTCAAACACCTATTTTAGAGAAGATGAGCGTTTTGTGTGTCTACAGAACAGGGTTTTCACTGAGTTCATTAATGAAGTATTAAATATTCATAAGTTCTATTTAGAAATAGGTAGGATTAATAAATACCAATTTGTTAACAATTGTAGAAAAGGATCTTAAGAGACAGTGTGGGCTTAAAGTCAGACAAATTGAGTTGGTGTTTAGCTCTGTGATTTTTGTAGCTATCTGATCTTGGGCAGCTGAGCCGTAGCATGCTTATGTAAAATGAACAGTAATAGTAAGGACCTTTAAAAATCTTATTATGATAAATATAAGATCTTACACAAATCTAAGAAATGTATTCAGAAATTCTTCCAGTTCCAGTATTAAGAAACTATATTATCTTGATAAAAAAGTTACATTTATTGTAGGTATGTTCTTTAAAGAGTTGTTTCTGTGAATAACTATTCTACTTTTTATCTACTTTTGACAGATGTTAACAAGACTTATTGTGGTGATCATTTTGCAATAGATACAGATATCGAATCATTTATGTTGTACACCTGAAACTAATATAATGTCAATTATATCTCATTAAAAAAAATGAATCGTTTCTGTGAATAACTATGCTACTTTTTATCAAAAGGCATGGCTTTGGGAAGAAGACAAGAATCTGAGGTCTGGCGTGAGGAAATATGGAGAGGGAAACTGGTCTAAAATACTCTTACATTATAAATTCAACAACCGGACAAGCGTCATGTTGAAAGACAGATGGAGGACTATGAAGAAACTAAAATTGATTTGCTCAGACAGTGAAGACTGAATGTGTTTGTAAAAGCTTGATAAAAGGAGAGTTAAATATTTTGATCACTGTGTTTTGTTTGAAACTTGGTGGTCATTGATGTATCCTAAAATTTTTGTTTAAAGCATTACAGTATTTTTCTGTAAGTCATTTAATTAATATGAGGATTTGTGCCATAAGTGTAAGATTATTTGCCATCATTGTTTTCTTGAAGAATCTTTTTACTATGATAAAATATAAATTTGTTGAGCCCTGGTAGTTTCAATACCCCTATCCCCAAATCCTGTTCCAAAAAAAATGAAAACCTGGTAAGAGAAAATATATATTTCTGCTAACCTATTCTGTGTCTGTAGGCTGACTTCAACTCTCTAACACACACATAAGAGTGAAGTTTCTAAATCAGTGAATAATAATATGCCTTTGACTTAAGAAGTGATGACTTGATTTATGGCCTTAACATATTAATTACTAAGACATTTGTTTATAGAATGATAAATGTACAAAGTAATCTTCAAGTTATACTATACTCAAATTTTCCTTTCAGTAGTTTCATATAAAGGAAAAAAGTTGAAAATAGTAATACGCATAGGACAAAATTTATACTATTACCAAGAAAATAGCTTCATGTCTCATTTAGGTACATTTGACTTTTGTGCCAGTGTTAAAACCTTGACAAAGATGGTTTTAAATAAAGCTTCTTTATAACCTAGTGCCATAAATATCAGTTTCTCTGACTATTTTATTTAATATATCAATATTGGGCCTAAATGGTATTCTGTAAATTGTTAAATTGGTATTAACAATGATCATTTTGACATCTTTGATAAATACTAAATAAGTAAAATCATACCTACCTTACTAGACAATTTTGAGTTTTCACCAATATTTTATTCTTTAGATGATTTAGTCAAACACTAATAGAATTATTATCATTTCAAGTTACATGTGCTGTATTTAACAAATGAGTGAAAGTAATGAATTATTTGCAAAAAAAGTTAAATGATAATATTTTGTAGTCTGTGTTTCATTTCTTATTAAAGCTTTATACAGTACTTTCACATTGTTCCTGAATTTCTTTTCCTATACATACATATAATAAACAGAAATGTGGGTGATTACCATGTGCTTCCTGACTCAGTCTATCCTGTTACACCACTAGTTACTGTGACTGTTACTTGCAGACACTTTGATGGTTAGTGCCAAAGCTGGTGGCATGAGCCAAAAGGGACCTGCGAGTCACCCTCCTCCTTCCAAACATACCATCAGTCATCACATCCAAGTTGCCATTAACTGCAAGATGCTCAATTATTTTATGTGCCACTAAAAAAGATCACCATTAATTATACTATAACATGGTGGTTATTTAGAATTTTACTTTACTTATGAAAAGAGCTTAGACTTATGTAGATTTTTATCATATAACTTGTGGATACATTAAAAGAAAAAGCAAAATAAATTGGGTAATGTATTCTTAAAACTTCCTCATCTTAAATCTGGATCTTCTAGATTACTTTTTTTAATTGAAATTTTTGTTGAGATAATTGTAGATTCACATGCAGTAAGAAATAATACAGAAAGGCCCCTTCTACACTTATTCCAGCTTCCCCCAATATTAATTTGTAAAACTAAAGTATGTCACCATCAGGATATTGATATTTATATAATCCACCAGCCTTATTCAGATTGCCCCAGTTTTACTTGTACTGTGTGTGTGTGGTGTCTATGTATTTAGTTCTAAACAGTTTATCACCTGTGTAGGTTCATGTATCCACCACCACATGCAAGATCCTGAACAGCTTCAACACTGAGGATCCCTCCTGTTGCCACTCATTTGCCTCTTGCATCATTCCTCCAACCCTTGGCAACCACTAATCTGTCCTCCATTTTAAGAATTTAATCATTACAGGCCAGCCCCGTAGCTTAGCGGTTAAGTGTGCGCGCTCTGCTACTGGCGGCCCAGGTTCGGATCCTGGGCGTGCACCGACACACCGCTTCTCTGGCTGTGCTGAGGCTGTGTCCCACATACAGCAACTAGAGGGATGTGCAGCTGTGACATACAACTATCTACTGGGGCTTTGGGGTGAAAAAGGGAAAAAAAAACAAAAAGGAGGAGGAGGATTGGCAACAGATGTTAGCTCAGGGCCGGTCTTCCTCAGGAAAAAAAAAAGGAGGATTGGCATGGATGTTAGCTCAGGGCTGATCTTCCTCTCACACACACACACACAAAAATATATATATAGAGAGAGAGAGAAACTAAAAAAGAATTTAATCATTTAAAAAGGTTACATAGAGAGTGACATTACCAAAAATGGCGGCATAGGGAGCACCAAAGATCCTTCCCTCTACTGAAGCGACTATTAAGCTGGCAAAAACTTAAAATCAACTTTTTGAAACTGGAATGTAATTAAAAAACAACTGGGGAGTGCTTAATGAAGCAAGAGGCTACTAAATTTTGGTAAGAGGATTTTGGTGTGTTTGCTCACTCCGCTTGTGGGGACAGTGGTCCACATTCTTGGTGCATTGATGGTGCAAGAGGGGACTATACAGACCTTGTTCTCACAGAATTGTGTTTTTTAACCTGGCTGGAAGTTCCCTGAGGGTTCAATTCAGAGGTTTGCCTTTGTTTTCCCCTCTCTGAACTCTCAGGACTTTAAAGCTGTATTACCTACCGCTGCCTGGGGTCAGGGATGGCAGACAGGACAAGCAACAGACAGACCAAAAAGCCTGGGGAGGGAGATAGATGGGGAGTAGGGCTTTGGAAGACTTGAGTAAACCAGGGAATCCAGACGGCCACACACGTGCCCAGGACTGGACTGTCTCAGAAAAGACCTGGGAGGACCCTAGGCCTTCACCTCTGAATGATCTTTGGGCTTCACGTGTGCAGGAGGTGAAGGCTAAGGCAGAGTTGTGGGTAGCTGGCTAAGCGGTGGACAACTGCCCCAACTCAAAGCCAATCTGCTAAGGCCAGGAGGATATCTTTTGTTTTGTTTTTCTTGACTTGAGGTATTTAAGGAAATTAAATACTCTGTATTCTTGGCCATTTTTTCTTTCACTCAACATAGTTGTGTTGTATGTGGCTGTAACTTGTTCATTTTCATTTCTGTACAGTAATACGTTATATGATTATATCACAATTACTTATCTGTCACGCTGTTGAGCATCTGAGTTTTGGAAATAAATGAAGACCACTCAAAAATGAGAATAAACAGGGGCCAGCCTGGTGGCGTAGTTGTTAAGTGCCCTCGCTCTGCTTCAGCAGCCCGGGGTTCCCAGGTTCTGATCCCGGGCACAGACTGACGCACCACTTGTCAAGCCATGCTGTGGCAGTGTCCCATGTAAAGTGGAGGAAGATGAGCATGGATGTTAGCCCAGGGCGTATCTTCCTCAGCAAAAAGAGGAGGATTGGCATGGGATGTAAGCTCAGGGCTAATCTTCCTCACAGACAAAAAATGAGAACAAACAGGCTATTTATTCAGAGCTTCCTATAGCAAGGGAGTCAGCTGCCATCACTTGCATTTGGCAGAGACTCAGACAGGCAGAGGTGTATAGTGGGAAAGCTTGATAGTGAAAAACAGAAGGCTTCAGGCAGGCTCTGATTGGAGGTTGTTGGCATGAGGAAGCTGGAGGCTGGCCAACTAGCAGCAGGCATCTTATTGGTTGTTTTGGGGAATATATTTGGCTTTCTCTGATTGGTCCTGAGTTGAAAGTGGGGACAAAAAAGTAGGGATGTTGGCAGTCATTGACCAAGTCCTGACCGTTCTGAGTGGATTGCTGAAGAGTTTCGGTTTGGCATCCTGGACTGGTTGCTGCAGAGGTTGTGGGGCAGAGTTTGTTGTTGTCATATAAGGTCTGTCCATTGTCCATTTTTATATTCAGTCTCTCAGAACTGTTTCCAGGTTATAGCTGCAAGGCTTTGGCAATTTACATAAAGTGTAATATGAGGACTAATATTAACTCATAAACTGAAAAGTTAGGTATAATATTGTAACCCCTAGAGCAAGCGTTTAAAAGAATACAGATATATAGCCAATAGATAAATTAAAATGGAATATTAAAAATTAGTCAAATAATTCAAAAGAAAGCAAAAGAGGGGAAAACAGAAAGCAAAAAACAAACAAAACCACAGGGACAAACAGAAAACCAAAAAATGGTACACCTGAATCCAGCCACATCAGTAATTACATTAAATGTCCATGTTCTAAGCCAAGCCCTTGACAAAATTTTTCTGTAAAGGGCCAAATAAAATATTCTGGGCTTTGTGGGCCCCACATCTCCTTGGAATGAGCCATAGACATAAATACATAAGTGAGTGGGCGTGGCTGTGTTCCAATAAATCTATATTTACAAAAACAGCTGGCGAGATTTAGCCTGCAGGCTGTAGTTTGCTGCCCCTTGACTTTGAATTCTAGATTTCTGTTTTCCTATTTTAAAATATGTTGGCCTTTGTTCTGGTAGGCAGTTAAGTTATTTCTGAATCTGGGAACTTTTTTTAATTCTCATTTTTTTTCTTCCAGGTTTGGAAGTTGTCCAAGTTTAGAACCACTTTCAAACTAACAGCTTGGGGGTTCTAAAGACCAGCCTGGTGACGCAAATGTGGGCTGCAAATCCACAGGACAGCTGACTGTGGCGACGACCTCTTAGAGTTAGGCCCAAAGCAATGGTCCCACAGTTCCTTAGGGAGAAGGGGAGAGTTTTGGATTTCCTTCTGGTTCAGTCTTCCTCTAAGAACATAGTCTATTGGCGTCCCTGTTGAATCATACCCAACCTCAGTCTGGGCGTGGCCCTTGCCTTCTGCCCCCCTTGCTGAGGAAGAGAGGACAATAAAGGAACTCAGGACTAAAACAGCCCCACTTTCCTCTGCCCAGTGGTGGGACACAGCCTCCTGGCGGTGAAGAAACCGGCCAGAGGGCGCGGGCTGTGCTGGTCTAGAATAGCAGCCACCATTCTTGGGTGGCGTGGGGAGGATGGGGAGGTGGCCAGAAGGCGCAGCTGGAGCCCATCCATGTAGCTCCCAGGCTGGATAATAACGATGGAGGGCTGGAACTGGAGGAGAATGGTCTTCCCGCCACTGCGACTGCAGTTTCTCCAGGGCCCTCATAAGGCTTAACTGTTATCATGTCAAGAGATGTTTACAGAGTCCAGTCCCAGTATCACAAAACAGGGCAAAGAAAGGGTGATTTGGAGCTGAAAGCCAATAACTTGGTAACTGGCACATAAGGTGCTGTTTTTTTTAAACTTACCTCCCACCTGCCCCTCCCCCCAACATGCACACACACCTTCATATGTCAAAATACTTCAATATTAAAGTAAGTCTTCATTTAAATCTATCCTGTGTTGAAAGAACAAAAATAGAAGACAATTTGACACAGGAGCTGTGATGGTTTATATGATCTACAAGTCTCAAAGAAAAGACTAATAATTTTCCAGTGTTCTTATGTTATTTACAAGACAGAATTATTTAAAGAGTGTTTTTTTCCACTTGAGCCCTTGAGGAGCTCATGTCTGTCTTCATCGTTATAAATTTGTAAGTGCTTTGCTTTGCATGGATTGTCTCATTTAATTCTTGCAAAACCCTGATGAGGAGGCAGAATGGTATTATTAATTACATTTCACAGATGAGGAATCAAGCTTCAGTTATTGTTTTTAAATTTCAGGCGTACATCATTATATTTCGAATTCTGTATAGTCTGCATCGTATTCACCACCAAAAGTCTAGTTGCCATCCATTACCATACATGTGTGCCCCTTTACCCCTTTTGCCCTCCCCCCATCCTTCTCCCTGCTCTGGTAACTACCAATCTGTTTTCTGTACCTATGTGTTTGTTTGTTTATCTTCCACATATGAGTGAAATCATACAGTATTTGACTTTCTCCGTCTGACTTATTTCACTTAGCATAATACCCTCCATTATTGGTCCATCCATGTTGTTGCAAATGGCAAGATTTCATCTTTT